ATTTGATTGTCCCTTATCAATTTCATTATAGATCATTTATAAATCCTAAAAACTTAGTTGCAAGTACGACATAAATTGTGAAAGTTTTATAAATATAAGATTGTGAAAGCTTGGTTGTCATTTTTTTATTTTGTACATTTATTTTTCTATTAAAAACAATCATATTTAAAATACAGTCAAATATTAAATATGAATATTTTTTTCAAGTAAGGATTTGAATCATATTGTCATAGTTTGCAACATTATAAGTGATTAACTCCTTCCATCAAACCCAATCCCTGTTAACGTTGGTTGTTGTTCCACAAACTCAATTATATCTTTTACCATTTATACTATATTTATAACTAATCCATCAACTTTGATAATTATACCTTGGATTTAAATATTTATAGTTGAATTTTTTATATTTAGGAAACCTTTACAGTTTATAACTTATATATTTGCAACTAATTTTTTGATATTTATAATTTTTTGAATTTGATTGAGTTTTGAGGAAATATAACTGAGTTATGTTGTGCATTACATCTAGACATTTTTATCCATTTATTTTATTTAAATATTAGTTGCTCCTGTCATTTCACAAATTTGAGGTCCTCATATGTAATTATCCCTTTTCTTGGCCGAATTCACAATTTCTGTTCTGCTTGACATTAGTCACGTATTTTTTTGTTCAAGAGGAAAGGAAAAAGAAAGTTGAGAAGCAAAATTTCATTGTGATGTATAATGGAAACACAATGTACTAGGCCCAACGTTGTGTTTTTCTTTTCTTGTGGTTCAGTGAGAGGCAGAGTCTTTAATATCAATAAAAAAAACTATTAAAATGATTTAATATAAAATTTGAACTTAATGAATCAGATAATTTTTAAAACTTAAATTTTCACTTATTAATTGTTAATCTCTTTTGGCCAATTTTTTTTCAAATATTAATATTTACTTATTATAAATTTTTGTTTGATATTAATTTATTTTAGAGATCTTGATATTGTTCTCAACAATGTTGGCTCCAGGACAATGAGAAGCAAGCCAAGGGAAGATCACAATAGAAGACTCGGGAAGAACATTTATGGTAAACAAGGACCAAATAATTATGAAATTGCTTTGCAAAATCAGAAGACTTAAATATAATTAAAAATTGTTATAAAAAGACAAAACCACCCCTCACATACTCTTTTAACAGCAATTACTCATTTAAGAAAAAAATAAGTTTCATTTTTATTTTAATAACAGTCAATGCACTTATTTACAACTCCAAAAAATTAAATTGGTGGTATAGAAAAATAAGTATTGTGATTTAATACATAAGTCCCCATTCAGAAAAAAAATAATTCCATTTTCATTTTAACAAGAATTAATTACTTCATTAGTAACTCCAAAATATTAACTTGGTGATAGAGAGAAAGTGTTATAATTTGGTGAACAAATCTCTATTTTAAAAAAAATAAATCTAATTTTTACTTTAATAACAATCAATTCTTTCACTACAACAAATATATAAACACGTGTGTGTGTGAGAGAGAGGGTTAGTTTTATATTTTCATAATAAATTTTAATTACGTTTAAGTCCTCTAATTTTGTAGAGCAATTTCAGAATTACTGGACCCTTACTTGCAATAAATGTTCTTCCCAAGTTCTTTACTGTGATTGTCCCCAAAAATATGGAAGTTTGTTTTTTTTGTGTCGCATGTCTTCTAGCTTCAAAGACTTCATGGGCTACTCGTCTAGATTAACAATAAAGCCCAAGATGTTGCTTGCCAAGGCCCAGAACTATGAGCATGTCTCCAAAAATCGGTTTTTAGGAGTCCAGACGCATCAAAGTTTTGATCAAAATATTTTATGCACCTACGCATGGTTCCAGTGACAAAGTAATCACCTTACATGAGAGAGTTGGTGGGTTTTATCTCCCACCCTGCAGGATTAACCTCCTTTCAAAAAAAAAAAAAAAATTGTTTGGAATGCCCATGAAACTAACAATACAAATATAAAAAAGATTTTAATTAATTTCTATTTCTCTTTTAGTTTACATATTCTTTTTATTTAAAATTTAAAATTTTACTTTTCCATTTTTTATAGAATCTTCTATCCCCTTGTGTCCTCTCCAACCAAATAGTAAGTGTGCCATTGATTGATGGCGAAAAAAAAAAAAAAGAGCATGAATTGTGAGGTTCTCGAATTTTCACAAATGTAAGCTATTGATAATCACATTTGGCACAAAAATATTTAAAAAATGATATATAAAAATAAGCATCCTTAAAAAGGATTGATTATCCATTAAAAAAAATTTAGATCTTGAGCTTATATTCTTAACAAATCACCTGTAGTATGTTCTAGAAGAAAATACCTTTATCAAATTATAAAATGTTTGTTTTGTTTAAAATGACAAGTAAAAAAATTGTAAACAAGCGCGTGAACGCATAAAGTGATAGACAAGCAATGAGAAAAGGGCAGGTGCTGACAGAAAAGGCCATTTCCGTGAGAATTGAGGAAGGCCCTGCTACTTGAAGAAACACATTAAAAGTGAATCTTGCAGAAAAAAATGTACAATCACGTGACATGTAGTTTAATAAATGAAAGACCTTCACAAATAAACATTAATTTAAATATTATATGATTTTCCGGAAATGAATATACATGAAAACATTATTTTTAACCCTTCAAAGTTAAAGTGATGATCGATTTGGATCAATATTTTTTATTAAAAAAATTAATCTTTAGAATTATGTTCCACTTTGATTAGTATTTTTAGATATTTCTCCTTCCTAGCTTTATTATAAGTGTCTTTTAGGTATTATTTGGCTGTTTTTTTGGGACGAAATAAAATGAAGTGGAGTAGCTAAAAATTCTATATTATTGTTTGGGAGAGTTTTTTAAAAAGGAGTGATATGACTTGAGATGGCTTTTTTAAGCCATCTTGAGTCAGAACCTTGTGATAGAGTTTTGAGATTTAATGTGAAATTTTTAGTCAAATATAGCTTGTATAATATAATAATTTTAATAAAAGAGTAAAAAATTTGATGGAGAAAGATGAGAATTATTGTCGATGGACTGCTCCCACTCTATTTTATATATTAAGATAGTATGTAAATATTAACATTAATATGGGGTGATAATTAATACATAGGAGTATATTTTTAACGAAAAGGATATAATTAATATTGATGTTATCAATGGTAAATGATAAAACTAATAATCATTATATAAATTATAAATAATATTTTAATGAGGTTTAAAGCTGCTGCCTAAGCCTAAAGCCACATACAACCTTGACACTAATATTTGACAATGGTTTAGGCTTTGGAACAAGAAAAAGAAAAGATAGAAAGTGAGATTGTGAAAGTGAAGAAGAGCAAGGTGATATAATGCAAAATTAGTATATCATGCATCTTGCTTTTTTTTTTTTAAGTAGATAATGAGTTTGACCTAATAATTAAAGTTATATTAAAATTGATTGAAGTTTTTTTTTACTGAAAAAACAATTAAAACTTTTCATTCTCTTTTACCTATAATAATAATGCAAATATCAACCACGCTTCACGTATATGATAGGAGTATTAGGGGATTTTTTTTTTTTTTTGGGAGTCCTAAGGTTGGCCTTATGGGTTACATAGCTTTGTCTTGAGCCATCGTGACTCCATTTTTTCTGACCCCGATTTAGGAGTTGGGATAAAATGACTTGATATAAATATTTTTATTATAAAATTACTCTCATTTTTATCATACACTCTGACTCTTTCACTACCTCCCACCCTAATACTAAATTATTAATACTAATTATATCTAATTTAAATATATTTATTTTTAAATTATTATTAAATAAAATTGCTCATTCCACTTATAAAACTTTTAAACAATTAAATATTTCGTTCTGTTTCACTCCACCCATTTTATTCCATTAATGACTATTTCTTTTTACACATTATATTTACGTACTCTTAATATAAGATGCTTGATGTGATATTAATTTTTTTAATATTATTTCCATTCAAACTCATTAATTATGAAAAAAAATGTAATATAAATTTAATTTTTTTAATTTAAATATAAGTAAAGTTAAAAGTTCATTTTTATATTTTTTAAACAAAAATAATGACTTAACCACCTCTTTTTTTTTTATGAAATTGTTAAAAATACTTCACAAAAAGTATGTATAAGTGGGTTACAATAATATCTGCAAGTGGGGAGAGTTTGGCAAAACCTAACCTGAACTCCGGCATTGTTTTTTTTTCTAATAAAAAAATTATAAGTATTTTGATCATATTTTATTATAATTTTTGGGATTAAACAAATTTAATTAAATATGAAAAACATGGGAGGTGCAAAATAAAGGTATCACATAAAGAAAAATATTTAAACAAACTGGATGTACCACATCATTTACAACCTATCCAATAAAAATATAATATTTAGATGACATTAAATATAAATTAATTATGATATTAATGATAGTAGAGAGAGAAAAGAAAAAAAATCAGATATGCATTCAATTATAAAAATAAAATTAATTTTAAAAACATCACATAATATTTCATTTAAATTACTTGAAACATTTTAATTAGACAAATTACAAATAATATGGTATATCTGAACTATTTAAGTATTTCTTATCACATAAAATATAGCATATTTTTTAATATTCCATAAATTAATTGAGTAGTTTTTGCCAAAAAAATTAATTGAGTAAGTTTTTTTTTTGTTAATATTTGGCATTTTAAGTGACATTTTTTGGTAATCGTTACTGTAATTAATTTATCCAATAGACTTCTCAACGATACCTTATTGTTGTCGATTTGTCATTAATTATTATTTCGCAGAAAATTCATCCGTAACTCAACGAACGACGTCGTATGTATTCGTTCTGCCCTCTCAAGGTCTGTAACATTGTCACCCTCCAACTTTTATAAAATTTCACGTATTTGTGGAGCAATTACTCGAAGTTTGAATCAAGTACAAGGGTAACTTGGGGATTGAATTTTATATATAGAATTTCGCACTCCCTCCTGCTCAATTCGTTTCTTGAAGAGGGCGAGCGATTCTAAGGAAATTCCGTTATCCATTTACATCATCTCTCTATATATTTTCTCCCGGTTCAGTCTCCTTCACAAATTAGGGTTTTTGCGTTTCGCTGTTCTTCGATTTGTAATCCGGCTACACAACCATGGTTTCTGATTCAATCACTACCGCTCCTATTCCTTCAGCTGCAAACGCGAAGAATTTGAGCAAGAAAAAAAGGGTAAGATATTGATTTCAGTGTTCATTTTGATGTTATTGTGATTATTTAGTTTATGCATTCATTTCTGTGCTATTATTTTCCTCATCCTATGGCTTCGGAGACTTCAGACCAACAGGTCTGCTAAATTAAAGCAATGTAAGATTGATGCCCGTCGCGAGCAGTGGCTTTCTCAAGGTAGGAACGGTTTTCAAGTTTCATTGATATGCATGTATATTCATCGTATACGTATTTCCATCGGTATGTTCTTTGCCTAATGTCAGTCTTTTTGTCAATATCCGTGGACGGGTATTAGTTATGGTCAAGACTAAGAATTGCAAGGACCTAGGGGACGGTGGACATGCGCCCTCCATGCCTGTTGGGGAAGCCAGCAAACGTTCATGGGAGAAATTGGAGATGATCCCTAGAGGTGAGGAGATTGATGAATCGATCCATCATGATGGCTACATGGAATCTCTATCCAATAGTCCCTCCAGTGTTGATAGTAGCATGTTGGGGGGTAATGAGTCTGGAACAAATTTCACTGGAAGCAGCAGCAGCAGTGCCGGGACCTGCTCTGGGAATGTCACTGAAGAAGAAGGCGATGATGATTGCTTGGATGATTGGGAGGCTGTGGCTGATGCATTAGCCGCCAATGACAAGCATCAAAATGCATGCTCGGAGTCACCCCCTGCTCATGAATCAGTTGTGCAAATGGTTTCGCCTCGTGAAATGACTCATGGGTCGTATTTAGGTGCACGGAATTCTAAAACCGAGAGTGATAGACTAGTTCCGTTGGCCTCTGGCAATAGCCGAGCTTGGAGGCCTGATGATGCTTTTCGTCCTCAGAGTCTTCCTAATCTTTCTAAGCAGTATAGTTTGCCAAATCCGGACTCTCGTGGAGGAGGGATCCCATCGGCTCACCCTGCTGCACCATCGCCTTGTCCAATATGCTGTGAGGATCTTGACTTGACAGATTCGTCTTTTTTACCTTGCTTGTGTGGATTTCGGCTTTGCCTCTTCTGTCACAAGAGGATTCTTGAGCAGGATGGTCGCTGTCCTGGGTGCAGGAAGCCTTATGATTGCAAATCTGTTGAGCCAGAGGCAAGCGTCCATGGAGGCAACCTGACTCTTCGTTTGGAGCGCTCACGTAGCATGATTTATAGGACATAAAGGAGTCTCAACTTGGTGCATCCTTGCTTCTGTATTCCTAGGTCTAATTTTCGTAGGTCTAGCTGTTGTAGGTATGGATTTTGTGCCCGAGGGAATCAACCTGTTTCTCAAGGCGAGTTTGGTTGTTATCTTGTGGTGCATTTGTTGATGTAGAATGCTCAGGGTGATATGTGAATAGATGAAATGGTATAGAAATTTAATAATTGAAAATTATTGTGCATGTTGTTTATTTTTCTTGTGCTATGACTTCTTCTCATATAATGTGTTCTTTCTTTACTCTTTGCTTTTTATACTCCCTTGTTGATCATCATATTAAATTCAACATGCTCATCATTGTCCTTGAATTTTATTTTATTGCATTCGCAGTTCCTTTTCTTCGCAAGCTGTTCTTGATTATTGATGCTATTTCTTCTTTGCAAGCTCTGCTTCTCTTTTTCTTGGCCTCCTTTGAAAATCCTTGTTCCTCTGATTTGAGCACCTGAAAGATGGACGCAGTAGTAATCTCATCTCACTTCTAAAGAATCTTTCTGTTGTGAGAAATACAAGACTTGAGGTATGGTAATTTATTTATGGTACTGCCAACATTTCTTTTTGTTAGCTCACCCTGTAAATCGTTTGTGCTCGCCGCTTCCTTGGTGAAGCATATTAGCTAGGTCTTGTCCTGGTTGTTTATGTTTCAAATTATTGTTCCTATAATTTTCTGGGATTGATATTTAGGTTTTTCTCTCTTGGTTTTTAGTTCTTGTCCTTTTTAAAACATATAATTTCTTTTATTGAAGATTCTAAGTGAAATGAAGGGGGTGCTAGTCTTTGGTAGATAACTTATGATATGTTTTCCACGGGTATGATTGGTTTTATCGTTCAGTTCCTTCGTTGTCAATGTTATATTTTTGACAAAGGGAGCCCAAAAAAGTAATTTGTTATTATCGAATCATGTGCTTTATTTAGAGGAAATATAAATATTTACAGAAGTAGCACCTTATCAAACTCCTCTTCATATCAGAAGGATGGGTTTATGACAGAAAAAAAAAATGTCAAAAGAAGATGAATAACGCAATACTCCAATTTATTTTAATATAATATCCCCTGTAATTGTTCTTAGTTATTGGTATTGGAAGATGGTCGATTCACTTTTTTAAAGCTGAATTAGAGAGCAATTTGTTTGCATAGAAGATTTCTATTTTTCTTCAATTTTCTCATTATTTATGCGCTGCACCAAACATGGGCTGGAATGACTAGAATATGGCCATCCTTGTCTTTCTTGGTTGGAATTGGATGGGGGATGATGGGAAGTTTTAGCAAATTTTGGGAGATTATTGAATTAGCTGATTATGACAGATTTTGCACCCATCTCTTATTGATTAATAATTATAATCTTAATCATACTTTCATGGCCATATTAGCTGCCTAATTTGTAGGGAAAAGAACGACCATCTATTTTATGGTCACGGATGCATCTCGCCGTGGTAACATTGAGCTTTAGCTAAGTTAAAAGGAGGCTCTCTCTCCTAAGAAGTAATGCTGAGAACAGAATCAAACTAATGATGAGCTGTATCCTTTATTGATTTATCATGTTGCATGGTGTATTTCGGTGGGATTTAGTTCGATTAGAGTGCACATGATTTTCTGCACGTTCATTTCAAGGTTCTGGAAATGGGAAGGTGGGTAAGATGTAATGAAGCTGTGCTCAGTTTGCAAAGGCTCGAATTATATGGTTTTAGCAAGAGCTAGACTTTTTATTGAAGATTCTTAGGGGCGGTCAAGTTTTGTGAGGGATCATTTTTGTCTGCATTCTGTCGCCTTATGAGGTTCCCATACTGTATAAAGGATTCACTTGCCGTAGTGTATGTCTCTTGTGGGATGTCTCAGCCATGACAAAAGATTCTTTTCAAGAAAATTGAAGTATTTTCTTCCTTCCTGTCTAGATTTTTATTATGATTTGATTTTCAGGGTGCCTCAATGCTCTGGTACCTCGTGTCCTTTTTTCTCAAAGTAAATCTCTCCATTAAAAATATGATACAAATGAATTTTAATGTACTGCGAATATGTAATTGACGATCTGTTAACGGAAGCATCAGATTGATGAGCGTTTATGCGTGTCCATCTCTCAATATAAATGAGAGGGGGGGGCGATGTATATTGGGCTTTTAGCTTGATCTGCAGATAATTTGTAAAAATTGATATGCAGAACTGATAGTTTAAGTAGGCTTGAACGGCAGCCTGACCGTCACCGGTTGTCAGCCAGTTGTTGGTTGAGGAATTACTTATGATTGCTAGGAGAAAAAAGTGAAGCGCATTTTCCCTCGCTGGGTTGAGAGGAAAAAATTGTAAGGAAGAGAAAATTAAAGAGAAAATATTATGTGGAATTCATGTATTTTTTTTCTCCAATTTTTAAATTCAATTTTTCCTTCAACTCTTCTTTCCAAGCATGAAAAGATTTTTAAGAGAAAACTTTACTCTCAAATTTATGAGATACTTTTAACTATTTCATCAAAACAAAAGAAAGTTAGGTAGGTCATTAATTTTATTTAAAAGTAGTATTAACTTCTTATTTTATTTTTATTTAAATAGTTTTTTAAATTTGTATTAACTCTTTCAGTGTGTTATATTGAACAAATGTAATTAATATTTCATTTCGTGTCTTATATAAAAAAGATCAAAGAATCCTTCTAGAAGGACCTTTGCAAGCAGAATTGGAGAGACTATTTAATAATTTTATAAATAAAATTTAAACTTAGATAAAATAATGTGCATTAAATATATTTTTATTTCATTAGTTTTTGTTTAAAAAGTATTTGTATTCCATTACTAGTATAAAATGAAAATTATATAAATGATATGCTAAAATTTCAAGTTTTATTATATCTAAATAATTTTTTAAAAATAACAAGATTATTATTGTCCATATGAAATTAACAACTTTTCTCACTTCTCTATTTTTTTTAGGCCAGGCAAGCACATGAAGAGAAAATCACGTCTCTTTACTTCCCCCCCCCCCAAAAAAAATTTCTCTATCTCATTTTCTTTTCTTCTTATTTTCTCTTATTGGCCAAGCATGCATTAATATTATTTAAAAAAAAATCAAATTTTCTCTCCTCTTTTCCCGCAGCTTAAACTGCTCAAATTTAAATATTCTACGCAAATGGACAGGGCAAATTTCTAGTTCTAGGTGGGAAACAAAGGAAGAACACTATAGAAATAATAATGTGTTTTTGTACATTGTATAGAGGTTGAAAAATGATTGCGTTGTTTAAGGTTCATTAAGTGTAGTGCCACTCTCCTTTTCTTTTTCTGCTATGGAAAAAAAATATGGATGCGAAGTGCAGGTCGTAGTTTCTTGGGGGAAAACTGGCAGAGGCAGGGTGTGGTCAGTCAAGCAAGGGTTTTATAGTTCTGTAAGTTCTTGTTTAATCTAATCTTATTTCATTAATCAAAAAAGAAAGTAAATCCAAATTAAATTTACAGATCCAGATATCAGATTATTATTGGGCCGCAAAAATTAAATTAATCAAAATGTATAAACATGATTGAAAGATAGTTAATTAATTAATTAATATTCAAAATAACTTTTGAATTATAATTATAAATTACAAATATTAGTGGGTTACTTGACCTGAAAGGAACCCATGTTAATTAATATCAATATTAATATAAAATGAAAAATATACAAGAAGCATTTTGAATGAATTATCAATAAGGTAATTTATCTTCATATTCATGTAGTATATGAAATGGAAAACTAATTTTATAGAACAAGTAAGAGAACATGAAGAAAGGGATAAAAATACGGGAAGCTTTCTCTCAAATAAGTCCATGCAGACTCTTCTTCCTGTACTCTTCTCAAAGCCTGAGTACTCAGAAACTTTACTCACTCACCGGTGAAGCAAGTTGTTCTAAAAAGAAGCCTGTCTCCAGAAATCAATTTAAAGTTGTTATACGGTGTAGTAACACCAGAGATTCACTCAAGGGAATTGGGAAACAAGTTCGAGGAATTTAACCTCGGAATATATAATACATAACATATTACATGATACAATCGTGGAAAACGACAAAGCCGTGGTCATCCCAGCAACCACTACACAAGAAATACATGCTAAATTATTTTGACTGAAACTGAAATGAAACACGCGGATATTTGTGCAGCCTAGCACACAAATTTGCCTGACTTGTAATCCTGGGGCAGCTTGCCCTTCCACCACCTCATAAAAGTGGTCTCTTCCAACAACACATCCTTCAGAATCTCACCTCTCACACCCCACCTGTCGAGTTCAACTTCAAGCTTCTCAACCCTCTCCTTGAATTCTCTATCAAACGCTCCCTTGTTCGTCTTGCTCACCAGCTCCTCCGCCTCAGCCCAGAAGCACGACTCCGAGCAGGCCCCTGTCTCCATTCTCATGTCATGCTCAAGCCATCTCTGTGTGTATCTGTACCGTTTAGGCCTGGCCCTGTCCATGTACGGCCCCGTGTCTTCATTCTTCAAGTGTCTGTAGTAGTTTGCTATGTCCAGTGGTTCCACCAATCGCCGGAACTGAGTTCCCATCTCCACCCACTCTGCCTTGCCTTCGAACTCGTCTGGTAGTTCGTACCTCTTCAGCATTTCGATGATCTCGTCCCACACGCCTGCCAGCAATAGCCTCTTCACATTCGCTTTGAAGTCTTTCTCATCTTTTTGAAGCTTGAACGCATCGTAGTATCCCACTCCTTGGATTCTACTCACTTCTTTGTAATCTTCTAGCTCCCTCATTGTTGCCTGAGCTTTCTTTTTGTCTATCTTTGCCTCGTTTCTGTACTTTTGTTTTTCCAGCTCCCCCGCAGCTCTCAGACACAGTCTCGCTCTTGTTCCCTGAAATCCCACACAAGTCATGCGTTCTGTTAGATTTTCATGCAGAATCAAGAATATGAACCAGAAATATTCTCAGTTTCTGAAGCCATGGGGGGTTTCTATTTTTAGTATCAGTGCTTAATCGTTAGTTGCTATATCTAGTTTAGTAACTCTGAGAATACCATATAAGACTATGTATGCATAAAACTCATTCAATACAGTACATGGAATCAGAAATGATTGGAGATAACAATAAATAGCCATTCAACTATTTATCTTCATTAAAACTTTCCAAAAATACAGCAATGAATAAAGATTTTCTGCTGTCATTAATCATGTATTCCTAAAGACAGCACATATAAATATAGAATGAGACTGTACAAGACTCGCTTTTCTTTTTGTACTAACGAGCAACAAATTGTATTTTCCTTTTTCTATGTCAATCCCATTTAGATTTACATCCACTGGCACTTATTTAAAACTGGAAAGTGAATATATATCAGAGGAACCAACCAATAAAAAGGTATATAAAGAGAAATGGTAAGGTATTATGACTACTTACGAGTCCAAGATCATTGAGGGCACTGTCAACATTTGCAGCATCATTATCATTATTAGAACAATCACCTGCAGACAAAGGAACCTCCTCAAGCTTATCCAAATAAACCACATTCTGCATCTGGAAGCTCTCTTTAAGTTCCTCTTCATAATTCAAATGCTGCAATACCTTCTCCCTCGCCACTTGATCTCCTTGTCCGTCCTCACTCAACACAGCACTGTGAAACAACACCTGAAGCACGGCCTCTGAGTTCTTCACCACCATCAGTTTTCCATTTCCTGTGCACAACACAAACGTCCCAAATGGCTTGTACGGACTCAGAACCACAAAGTTCTTCACCGTTTCCAGCAGCAAGTTGGTGCTTCCCATGAGACTACAAGCTCGATGGCTCGTCACCATCGCCGCGTTCTTCAGCACGGAGTTGTAAAACTCCGAGTACCTGATCGGTTCCGGTGATGAGGATCTGTTCTTCTGGCTCAGGACCTGGAGAATTGGGTCCATGGTTCGCTCCACAGACGAGAACGGAGCGAGGGAGATTCGCGGCACGATGTCATATCTCAGGACAAAGTGGATGAAATGACGAGACCAGTTTTCTCGTTTGGTCGCGTGAGAAAATATGTGGTTCCCGACCAAAGGAGATCCGAAAGTCACACAGACAGGAGGGTTGGGTTTCGTATTCGTTAGTTTCCGGTCTTGCTCTAATTTCCATAGTGTCACCAGAATCGCAATCGCAGCGCCCGAGGAGTGGCCCGTGAACACTATTCTCTTCCCGTCTTTCGTGGCTTTGTCCACCTGCAGATTCAAGTTTCATATAACTCATGAACTTCTAGAAATAGAAGGCAACACATCAGTTAATTACCAGAAAACTAACAAACAAACAACGTTGATTTGGCAAGTTGAAGAAGGGGGTTGAGGCTGTTTGACTCAGAATTACCTCTGATTTGAAGGATTGACTGGTGGCTAAGGCTTCGAATCTGGTGAAGAAGGCTTTGTTGACCAGAGCAGTTTCGTCGTTACCGATGCTTCTGAGTGAGGGAAAGAAAGAGAGATCGATTTTGGTGTCGCCGAAAGTTTGATCAGCGTAGAAATCAGAGACGGACCAGGACGGAGCGAAGCTGAAGATGAGTTCAGAAGAAGTGCCGGAACGATGCTTTTCGGTGAGAAAAGTTTTGTCTTTGTGAGATTTGTAGGCGCGTTCACATGCCTTCTTGATTAGGTCTTCTCTAATACCAAGGGCGTCTCCGATTCTCTCGCTCGCCATATCTCTGCTCTGTGAAAGTGTTGTGAGTGCCTCATGGTGGAGCTCAGATTTAAAGAACATGGCGATGGATGCTGAGGATGTTGAGGTAATTTGAATAATGTTGACCAGATGACTTGAGGCTGGGTTGACTGCAAAAGGTGTGGCCGCGGGAGTGGGACCCTCAAAAATCATACGAAAATACTATTACGAGCTGTTCAGCCAACAGGACAAGATAAGCGCGTCGAACAATTCTACTGGCCGTAGATATATATTTAATTGGAAAGCAGAACAAGAATCTGTGCTAGGAGCAGAACAAGAATGCCTAACCTTCGCGGAAACTGGAGAGTAGAAACCTCGCCCATTCTAAAACGTGAGAGAACGACAAATAAAACCGAACAAACAATCCAGCCATACGGCAGAATCTGTACTCCACATTGTTCGGTTGGTTCCTCTCCCACAAAATTTAGTATTTATTGTGTCCGATCTTATTTACTCGTTTGATTAAAAAATATAAAATATTTTTAATTAAACCTCACTTTTAATAAAATAATTAATTATTTTAAAACTAACACTATTTTTATATATCTACTTTTATTTAATTGGTTAGTGTTTTACCTTAAATAAATATAAAGTTATAATAAATATTATGTTATAGATATTCATAACTTATGGTTTTAAGAATTTCTTTATTTTTAATGTTCTAATAAATAGTATGAAAGAAATTTTTTATTGTTAATTAGGGTTGAGCATTTTACCTATGTACCTGCCCGACCCATTGCCAAACAGGTCAACCCATACCTATAAAATGAAGTAAGGAAACAGGTATGGGCAGGTGCTTATAGGCCACCCTCGTATATACTCATTTTTTTGGCCATTTTTTCAATTAGAACCCCCAACCTAGTCACCACTCATTCACTCACTACTTTAAGTCTTGCCTTATGTCCCTGTAATTCAAGCCCTAACTTCACCAATTCATCATATTCGATTTCATCCTCCTTTGCCATTTGAGCTTCGAGCTAAGAGAATGAGAGAAACTTCATTATTTGCCTCACCTTTGGCCCATGCCTATTCGAGGTATGACCTTCAAAGTTCAACCTCGCCCTCACCTTCATTGACCACAGTCACATGATAGTGACGCACAATCACACTTCGCCCAGCCAGGCAAAATATAGTCTCACAACAATAATGCAGGATATAATGCACAAGGCTGTAAACTTAGCTCAAGATTGTAGTCACATACTCGCACTTTGGTAGAGTGTAATGTCATTAATGGAAGTTTAATAGCTCATTAATATTATTGAGAACTATAAATAATTAATAAACCCAATGAATAAGATCAAACTCATGTAAGTGGGCATTGGACAATTTAGAGGTGGAGAAATAAGAGTTGAAATGTGTGAGATTGGCAATATTAATAAAAATTAACTTGGTAAATTGTAAATTGAACTCTTGGATACCTATTTGGTTTGAAAATTCAAACTTGGAAGCTATAACATTGAGGGGTAAATCTTTGACTTATCAAATGTTTGAGGTAATAAGGGGAATCATGCTTTGGGTAGTTATTTGTTAATTAATTGTTTATTGTAGAGTTGTGAACACTACATGCATGAATTGATTTCCAATGTTTGAAAGTATGATTGTGCATAAATTCATATTTGACTTGAAATGTAAGATGTAAAATCAAGATGGTTTTTAAACTATGAATATATATATATATATATATATGTTTTGGGAATATGAATGTGATATTGTGTTGAGATAAATACGTATTAATGAAGAAATGAATTATTGTAAAAAGTGAGGATAATGTTGTGAAATTGTTAGTGGATACTCACTTGGGTAGTGCATGATTGTGAACGCAATGTGTGATTTTGATAAACAATAAATGAACATGTAAAGATGAGTGAGCATCGTATATGGCATGAATAGTAGGCGGGAGTTCGCCTAGGGATTGGGAGTAGAGAAAAATTTATATGATATTTAGGCTGCCCTCCAGTGCACGGGGCTAGAGCCTTGTCCTATAGTTTGTCAAGAAACTATCTTATATTTTGTCGAGGGACTAAAACCTAGCTTTCTTCACCAATTCAACAAGGAGAGTAGCCTAGGGAATGAGACACCTTAGAGATTCAAGAATGGGAGAAACTATAGTCTGAGAGTGAGTTATGTGATCTTTAGCTGGGTCATACCTCACAGTTGGTGAGCTTGGGTACTCTAGTCACATGGACGGAACCCTATTCAGTGTTATAGCTCATGGTTTTAATTTGAGGAAATAATAAGGATATAAGATTGGTTGATCATTGCTTATGTAAATATATGACATGTCACATGTGTTGAATTGTGACAGATAATGAGTCATAGTTACATGTCTAAATGTATTGTGACAATGCTCCTAATTTATGTGAAATAAGGATGATATAAAATAAATAATGATAAGTTATAGTGTGTGTGTGTGTGTAAGTATGCTTTTAAGTACTTGATTTCATATGCATGTGCTTGATCTATAATTGATATATAACTGCATAGGTAGGTTTTATCTTGGTTACTGAGTGGCTAGACTCACCCCTCTTCTTTAACACTCTTTTAGCTCTGGTGTAGAGAGGGAGAAGGCTCAAGAGACTAGGAATTAGCACATTTCTATTATATGCCTCTAGCTTAAATTTATTTTGTGTAATAGTATATAATTGTCAATTCTAGGTTGCATACCATCACACTTCTACTACTTTGTCATTGCAAATATCTGAGTTGTATTTTGAGCCTTGAGTATTTGTGTATGATGATATATATATGTTGATAAGGCCAAAATACTAGTGTAAGTGTAGAAATGATGTTTAAATATGTTTGATTTGGTTTGGATGTAATGAAATGGTAAATGCCTCTCCCTTCTGTTTTTGGTGAAATGGGGTTGAGGAGTAATGTTATACTATACCGGTGTTTAAGTGCGTGTTATGTGTTGTACTAATAATTTTAGATCCAATGGACATAGTCTAAGTGTTAGAAAAGGCTTTTGACACTTGTTGTGGGTTTTGGGCACATTTTTTGGTATGAAAGTGTGAAAAGTGGTCAAAATATATTTGGGTATCCAACTTCCTAATGTGACTTGTTTTGAAAGTGAAACCCGTGTCATTAGCAAGTTTATGTAAAGAGTTTTTATAAACACCTAGATCATGTCATTCGAACATCGGATGGAGAATCAAAATGCTTCAAAAGTTCTCTGATTTTGCTATAAAATAATAGCAGAATCTGCTGTCATTTTTACATGCAACGTGCCGTCACACATGGCGCTTGAGCCATGGTGTGTGGCACAAAAAGAGCAACACACCATGGCACAATGTGCATGAGTTGCGGTGCATTGTCCTATTTTACAGCACATGAGTCTTTCTACTGTTTTCGATTTCTTTAACTCCTCAGAGGTGTCTCATGCTCCTATAACTTGTCTTTACTCTAATATAAGAGATTTTGATTGTTTTAAACCTACTTTGATTATGAAAACTTAAAATTCTTTGATTTTGAATTAAAACTTGATAATTGCCAATATGAGTTAGTCTTTTGATTACCATAAGTCTTATTAGTTAATAATATTTAGTGGAGTAAGATATTGCAGAGGAAGTAGTTTTTTGGGGCAAACATGGCTGGAGCCGAAGGAGGAGGAGGAGGAGAAAACAAGGGTTTTATACTTTTGTTTGTTCTTGTTTAATCTAATCTTATTTCATTAACCAAAAAAGAAAAGAAAACAAAGTAAATTCAAATGAAATTTTTTATAGATGATCAAATTATTATTGGGTTGTAAAAATTAAATTAATCAAAATGTATAAACATGATTTATAATTAATTAATATGATTTAAAGATAGTTAGTTAATTAATTAAGGGGATAATAAAACTTTTAATTTCTCAAATTTAGCTCATTGATCAATTTGGTCTCCCAAATTTAATTTTTATCGATTAGATCCTGTATGTTTTCATAAATTATCATCTTATTGCTTTATGTTTTAAAAAAATTTACCCTCAAATTAATCTAATGTGTAAAGTATTTTGATAATATGACATGCATATTTAGGTAAATGAGAACAAATTAGCTCTCAAATAAGTTTAATTTTTTTAATATAATTCTTTACATTGCATTTTGTTCTTTTTTTTAAAAAAAATCTAATTATCTTTTGTCTCTATCCAAATAATTTCACTTCTTTCCATGAATATAAATGGTTGTTACCAATATTTCATTATCTAGGTCATTGAATTTTAATAGTGTTACTCATATTTGAACAATAGGGCTCAAATCAATAAGTAAGGAAACAACAAGAACTAAATTAATAAAAATTAAATTTGAGGGACGAAATTAATAATTGAGACAAACTTTAAAAATTAAAAGTTGTACTATTCCATTAATTAATATTCAAAATAACTTTTGAATTACAATTATAAATTACAAAGTGTTAGTGGGTTACTTGACCTGCAAGGAACCAATGTTAATGAATATCAATATCAATATGAAATGAACAATATATGAGAAGCATTTTGAATGAATTATCAATAATGAAACTTATCTTCACATAGTATATAAAAATATCAGTTTATTCGACAAAGACAAACTAATTTTATAGAAAAAGTACGTTAATATGAAGAAAGGGAGAAAAATACATGAAGTTTTCTTTTAAAGAAGCCTATACAGACGCTTTCTTCTTCGGTTCTTCCTCTTGCCTCACCTTGAAGCAAGTCGTTCTAATAAAAAGAAGCCTGTCTCCAGAAATTAATTTAAAGTTTTTATATGGCGTAGTGAGCTCAGAAATTCAATCAAGGGAAACAAGTTCGAGGAATTTAACCTCGGAATATATAATATATAACATATTGTATGACACAATCGTGGAAAACGACAAAGCCGTGGCCATCCCAGCAATCACTACGCAAGAGATGCATGCTAAATTATTTTGACTGAAACTGAAATGAAATTCGCAGATATTTGTGCAGCCTAGCACATAAATTTGCCTGACTTGCAATCCTGAGGCAGCTTGCCCTTCCACCACCTCATAAAAGTGGTCTCTTCCAACAACACATCCTTCAGAATCCCGTCGCTCGCACCCCACCTGTCGAGTTCATCTTCAAGCTTCTCAA